TTATTTCCACAAAGTGTATCTGTGTTTTCGTACTGTTCTCATAAAAACAGCGACTGTTTTCCTAAACAGCATTAACCGGCTGGTCTTTGTAATTGAGACATGATTCCTGTGAGGTACGGATAGAATATTTATATACTGTTTAGAAGAAATTTAGTCTTCAATTCGTGACTAGACTGCCGCTGTAGCAGGAGTTACTAATGATTGGGCATGATCAGCTGTACTGAGCATGGACTGACAGAGGCCTTGTATATGTTGTATACACAGGCATTTAATAACATGTAAAATGTAAATTGTACATGCAGACAACAAACTTATTACTGCTGTGACTCCGGAAAACGACAGACCCGTCCTCTCGTCAGGGAGAGCACCCCACATCAACAAACCTGCAACTGCCTGACAGTAATAAAGATCTGGCCTCAGACGGGTGCTTTATCTAAGACAGACTTGCCGACTGACCGTCGGTCGTAATATAACTTTCACTCTCACTTAGTCTTCAAAGGGTTAGTAATGCAATCGTACATCTGAGGTACCACTATGAACAGCATACAAAATAAGTCATACGCGAGTATGTGTGGGAAATCATTGTTAACATTACGTACATTATACAACAGTCTTTGGTTTCAACTCATGGGCTGTTTAGGGAGCTGATATTGGTTCCCAAAGAACTGCCATGTTCCCATGTTGCTTCCTGTTAAACACCAGAAACTAATTTACAAAATTTCTTTGGGCAAAGTTGTCCCATTGCTTAATTAATTGCCATGCCATGAAGACGTATGGGTGAGTGGAGGTACAGTTCAACTAGATGGAGGTGATCAGTTTCACGCCTCTGCCGCTTCGCCCCAGGGGGAAACAGCTCCCGGTACCCAGTGCACCGGATATTGGGTGGGCCCAGTAGCCGGTCTGAATGATGTCGAAGACAGAAATATCTGTTATCCTTGCCGGGAATGGAACCCCGATTCACCGTAGTCACTTATACTTGTTCGCAGTGATTATCATCCTATATGGCTGCTGAAGGATTTATTCTGGCAATATCTGAGAAAGGATGCAGCTCGCATGCGCTCTTGGTTTGCTGGTGCAAATCTCCGAGCCGGACTTGACGGGAGACGCATCTCAACGAGAAGTCCTAAGATGACCGACCGCACTGCAGAATGTGCTGATCGCATAAAATATTTTGGTGTGATAACAATAATTTATGAATTGACAGGTAAAATTTGTGTGATGGCACAGGCTATTGCAGATACGTCTGTGTGGCGGCACAGGCTATTGCAGATACGTCTGTGTGGCGGCACAGGCTATTGCAGATACGTCTGTGTGGCGGCACAGGATGTTGCAGATACGTCTGTGTGGCGGCACAGGCTATTGCAGATACGTCTGTGTGGCGACACAGGCTATTGCAAACGCATCTTCGTATTTGTATTGCGGTGTATAGAACCGTTACTGGGTACCGATGGCAAACAAACAGGTTCCCACGGAAACGAATCAACGCGCAACAACAAAGGAAATGTTTGAAGCGGTGTTTTCTGTGGTCCGCGCCGCGGCCGTCGCGTAAAACACGTCTCTACAGCAACAGAAGAGCCGTTTTCTACGTGGTCGGTACCAAGGGTTTATAAGCGGAACAAGTGGGAGCTGTAGTTAGTTACAAGACGCTTAAACTTGGCGGCGGTCAAGCACAGGACCGTTCAAGTGACGACTGCCGTTGTAGCGGAAGCTACTAGAACTAGGGCATGCATAATCTGCTGTACTGAGCCTGGAATGACAGAGGCCCTGCATATATTTTATATACATTTATTAACATGTTTAACATGTAAACTGTGAATATCCTTTACATTATGACAAGTGAATTACTACTGCAGACAATGCCTATGACAAAAGACAGACCTGTCCTCTTTGTCAGGCCCCATAAAAACAAGACCGAAACTTTCAAACAGTAATAAATATCTGGTCATGAGCCCCAGATCTGGCTCGACACCAAGACTGACTGACTGACCGTCAATGGCTATGTGACTTTGACTTTGGCTGTGGTCACTCTGTGAAGAGAAGACTAAGAGGCTGGTGTGAGATTGCCGCCAGCCTGGGAACTAGTTAAGTTAGTAATAAGTTAGCCTGTGAAGAGCAGGAGGCTGGTGTGAGATGGCCGTCAGCCTGGAAGTTAGTCAGTTAAAGCAAAAGCTCTATGAATAGAAGTCTAGGAGGCCGATGTGAAATGGCCGCCAGCCTGCGAGTTAGTCAGCTGAAGCACTGAGTTAGTTGTGAGACGGTAGGCAGCCGGCAGTGGCGCGAGTGCGGTGTGGAGGAATCTGCACTGTTGGAACCTTTTACCAGGAAACAACTAGTGAAAACACTGTAGGCTGGAAAAGACTTAGCTTATTATGCTCTAGTGATTTGTAAAGTGTGGAGATTACCGATCGCGGCAAGTGTTTTTTTTTAACGCGCCTCCTTCTGCATCAACTCGGAAAAGCGTAGCTATTTCCTCCAGAGTAAACATTACCGTGGCCAATGTCTTGGTATTACTAGCATGTACGAGTTTAAGGCGGGCGGCTAGATGACTTCCACAAGCTCATTAAAGATCAGACAGACAGGGCAGAGGAGGGGTGTTTTGGCCTGTTTCTTCAAGAACTCCCCAATGACAACATAAAGAGCTACAATTCAAATTAGCCGAAACTAAACCCCCACCAAGAAGACCATGCGCCCCAATCCAGATCAGTGTATCGGGTGTCGTTTAGTAACCTCCACATTACAATTTCAGAGAATGCATGGAGAATGACTACAAACGTGAACTCAATTTCGAAGTGAATTTCCAAACTACGTTTTTAATTGTTCACTTCCCGATCGGCAGACCAACACTGATTCAAAAGGGACCTTTATTCTTTGTACGTAACGGACACACACAAACCAGGGCTCTAACGGCAAGCATGACACACAACTAGTACGCAACTTCTCCGAAGTCACATTCACACCAATTAATCCTTAGGAGGGAACCACGCTGTAGCGCTGTTGGTTGAGGCACTATGCTACAAACCGAAGGCCGCTGGTTCGATTCCCGAAGAGTCCACTGGATTATTTTCAATTTACTTAATACTTCCAGCCGTACTATGACCCTGGGGTCGACTCAGCCTCTAACAGAAATGAGTACCAGGAATCCTCCTGGGAGGTAGAGGGCGGCCGGCGCGTAAGGCTGACCTTACCACCATCTTTGAGCCGATTGTCTAGAAAATGTGGGAGCCTGGACGTCTCACAACCGTATGGGCCTCCAGGGCCTGGATAGCTTTACCCTCTTTTTTAATCGTTAGGAGGCGTGTAAATGCAGCAGTGAATGACTGGCTGTTACAAAACCAAAAACAACACCGTCCAATGCGACTATTTAAGTTTTATCACTTGAACAGTGTAAACAACACAGCAAGCCATGAACAAACATGGACAATACTAAGAATCTCCTTTCTCAAGATCGGCCACCTCCGAGAAATACAACAGGAGAATTGACACGCACCTGCTTGGTTTATAAATTTTAATCTTAAACAACATTTAAAAAAAAATTAATACCAGGAAGGCTGCTGTGACTGAAAAGTTGAACATTGTGTACATTGTGTATTTCAGACATTATATGTGTATGTATGTATATAATTTAACACCTATTGTAATTGTAGTTTCCGGAGAAAGTATTGATGCCCTCTGAGGATGATCCGTAGGGATCGAAACATGTAAGGGTGATGAGTTTTCAAGTGATAAAACTTAAATAGTCACACTGGACGGTGGTGTTTCTGTCTTTGTAATTGTTAGTGTGACGGACCAGAATGAAACAAATCAAAGACTGGCTGTTATTTCGAAGCCTCCAGATATACCCAAGCATGCTGACGTGTTAAGGGAATGCAAAGGGATGAGATTTACGAAACTGTCAACAAAATTGCAGACCACGTGGCTCAAGGAACTGGAGAATACATCTGAAGAGGCTACTGGAAGGATGAGGAATTAATCGCGCTAGAGCGTGTGCAAAATGTTCGGAACATGATGAAGACCTTACGTCCTCAGGACGTCTGGGCGCTTCAACTCCATATCACATCGTGCCTTTAAATAAATCTTGTACGTGAGGTCTCCATCAATACTCTATCCATAACTTTAAGGTCATTTACTTACGGTTCAACTCACGATGCTATGGACAGTTCAGATTATACAGCGTCAAATGAATTCGAAAGAATGTGAAGGTTCTTCCCTCGAATACAAGTCTGCAGCGTTGCCGCCTGAACCAGGTTGTGCGGTCTCAGTATCACTGATCAGCGAAAACTAGTGAATGTCTATTTGAGTTGACGCTTAATTTAGCACAGGGACAAACTTACATTTATTTGACATCAAACATCAACCTTAACAGCTTAATACAGAGGAGACCACGACTATTACTAGATACCTCTTGCAACCAACAGGTACTAGAGTCACACAGAATTGTATATGAATTCTCCAGTTTAATTTATTAGCCGATTTCTGTTTCCCCCTCTTGACAATGCAGCCGTGTTTGTTATCCTCCTATGTGTAACATTTACCGATAACCGCGTCTTTGATTGCGGACGTTGATATAACAGACAATCAAGGCAAAGTGACACCAGTACCGAAAAGATGACATATATGCAATAAAGAAAAACTGTGTCCAATGATGATTAATTACGATCCAACTGTCGGCTGTAGCTGCCTTCCTCAGTGCCGTAAGTCCCAATACGCCGGGTAGGAGAAGCAAATTGTACGCCCAGTGACATATAAAGAGAATCTAAAGCAAAGAGATCGGAGAAAACAGACCATTTTGGTGCCATCTTGACAGTGCACGTTCTCACAGATATCGCCAAAACTCTACACGCTACATAGGATTAACTCGATAACGAAGCTCTAATGAAACACACACGTTACGATCGGGGTCACCTAACACGTGTCAGAACGGTTTCAAGGGACATCAACACACCGCTTCATACAGTCTTCAGGATGAGTCCTGTCAAAACTAAGCACACGGGAGGGCATACCTTCCTCAAATGGCCATCCACCTCGGTCTGTGGTGTCCGCAGCAACAGGGGCCGATCCCGTGACTACGGTCTGTACATCCAAGTCAGGATCCTGGTACACTGAAAGATAATGTGCGTCAAATCATACGAAATGTAAAATGCTCCCAAAACACAAAGCGAAGGCCAGCAGGGCTGCAACGAACAAGTCATTAAAATCACGCCAAATCTTCGTTCCAGAAAAAGAAAGAAACGCGTTCTTACAAATTAAAAGAACTGTGAGAATGCAGCACGTATTTCACACTGAAAATATTTAGGACATATACGAAAACTGGTCTTGTAGACGTAACATACTTTCACAAGATTGCTACATTGCTACCAGGTGCTTGTAGAGAGAGAGAGAGGGACAGGATCTTTGGGAAGCATTACCGCAAGAAATTCAAATACTTAATGACCTACCGATGTAGCGCTGATGGTAGGAACACATTCTACACCCCGATTTGGGGTTAAACCACGTGCCTTCTATCGGTAGAAGTTGGAAAAAAAGTGAAATTGTCTCTTTATAAAACCATATGACAGTCACATTCTTGGTTGCAATTCTGAATCAGCATTGCACTTACCAATCTGTAGCAGCTGCAACCCTGCGGACGCCCTGCCCGTCGATATAATTGGCCTTACCTTTACTTGCATAGATGGGGGTGTGATTGTGGGGAGTGCCGTTGTACACCACGCTTCCGTCTTGTCCCGTCATCACTCTCGCTCGGCATTTTAGCTCCTTATTCGAGCGCAAATTCAGTTCACAGCGCCAGTATGACTTGTCCTGCCGTGTGTGGTCCCTGTGATACGCGAAGCCGCGACCGTCGTACAGCTTGAACCCGCGGCCAGTGTTCACTACGACGACTTCCTGGACTGCCAAGTCCATTCTCACCATTCACTACATACACAGCAAGCGCACATCCCCACTCACAGCCCTCTCTAAACAACCCAAGGTACGTTCTTTAAGACGTACCCATAAAGCCAAGTCGTTCTACGCCAGCCTCAGCAGTACAGTCGTGTTCTGACATGAAGTTTCGTTACTTTCCTCGCCGACAGGGTGACCCAGTATAGTATGTGGAGCAAAGTTGAAGCAGTCTGTACACAAGTTGGTGCTGAGGTAACATCGGGCCTAAACACAGCAACAAAGCAGTCTCCAGTTCAGAGAAGTCCAAAAGATCAAGTTCATCACAGTTACTCTCCCCTCGGCGAGACGCATCAAACCGAGACTTCAACGATAAGCTGTTGGTAGAGGAGCGTCCCTCTTGTTCAGGACAGAAACTGCCAAGTTCCGTATGGCACGTACCCTCTTCCCCGTCTCAATCCCAGGTTCCAATACAAGAAGCAGACAGGAGAGCTGTAACTATGTTACTGAGCCAGTGTCGCTATTCCTGGCACAAAACTTCGACCCGACTTCTCCCAGAACTTCTCCGTACTGGCGGAAGAACGGCACTTGAACAGCCTTCGAAAGCTCAGCCATAGTAAATAACCAAGTATTAAAAGAGTTTTTAACCAACGTTGACTCCCGCTATGAACACCAGGCCGACGAAGAGGAGATCCTACTCTTCACAGTAATTTTACCAAATCGGCAAGCTCTTGGTAGCTATCAAACACTTTCAAACTAGAGAAATCTCAAAGTTTCTGAAACCCTACTTTCAATAACACCCACGTGATCCCTTGAAAGATGGTTTCTGTGTGCTCAAAACTTGACAACCGCAACTGGACTAAAGGAATAGCCAATCGCTAATCGCATCCTGATGTCACTGAGAACATTTCATATGGATTAGTTATTCTCAATGCTAACGACCCTTCAAACCCCAGTGGTTATTTACATGCACCACCTAAGCGGCCTCCGTAGTCTAGAGGTAACGTTCCCACCTCATGACTCGTAGTACGCGGGTTCAAATACCCGGCGGAGGTCGTCGAATTTTTAAGGGCGGAAAAATTCAAGGAACAAGTCCTCCGGGAGGGACTTTAAGCCGTGGGTCCCGTGTCGTAGCTTTACGGCACGTAAAAGAACCTCATATCTCCAAAGGAGGTCACTGAAGCATGTAACACGCAGGTAAAATTCTGATCTGGAAACATCAAGAGAGCATCTGGGACGTGTGGACGACGCGGAGAAAATTCTTGAAGCTACCTGGACTCGAACTTCGGACCCTCGGTCGTCCACCACGTAGCTAGTGGCTATGTCGGCTGCCTATCCCAGCTCCCACATTATTAGTGATTCTAGATTTCAGGGTGCACAATACAATGCTTTGCGAAAGCTACGGATTTTGACACGACAAAATGATAGCTGACAATGTGCAGTCAGTAAACACTAACTGTCGACATTCCAAATCAATGAGACACATTATATTCAATCTGGAATTCCAACAGCAGTGACTGTGAATAATACGGTTTCCGGGTTGTATCGCCATGTAGATCAAATATGGCCCGAAGTTTTGGAGGCACATACTGCTTCCATCTTCAGGGCCAAAGAGCTGAGCTTCCTACATGCTTCTTAAGAATTTTTCTTTTTCATACACTAACACTACGAAGATGGAGGCAATATGTTTCTCCGAAACGTCAGGCTGTCTCTAATCTACTAGGCGTTACAACCTCGAGGACCGTACTCTCTAAACATACTATGTTTTAATACATGGCGAGAAAGCAAATATCTGCAGGCTTTCATTTCCCTCTTGTACTGAGAGCTTGTGTACACTGTTACTGGCAGGCATGGGCCCGAGAGATAGCAGCTACGACGTGCAACGGGATACTGCTCCAGTGAAGCTAAACACGCATCCAATCATACACGTATATTGCGTCTACTCAATTATCGCGGAAAGATATTGTCACGTGTATGACCACCGCTAACTGAATGTATTGAACACTTACAGATCGTAACTACACGCAACTATAGCGCTATCGCTCATTCACTCTCTGCAATTCCTAGTGCAGTGGTTCTCAACCTTTGACAGACCGCGGCCCGGCAAATTCTTTTTCTACATATAAGACGATGGCCGAGCTCAGTAGTCTCACAATCTGGACAGACTGGTGTCAACTCTTAATAGACAAAGTAGCAAGACAGCGATCCTATTCAAAGCCGTTACACAGATCATATAAATAATAAAATATGGGAACTGCAACGGCAGCAGTAAAAAAGTAAAGTAAAGCTATCCCTGTAACAGGCCGTGAAGGCCCACAGGGTTGTGAGACGTTGAGGATCCCACATTATCTAGACAATCGGCACAAAGATGGCGGTAAGGTTGTCAGCCTTACGCGCCGGGCGCGCTTTACTCCCCAGGAAAATTATTAAATTAATTCCTGGTACTCATTTCTGTTAGAGGTTAAGTAAACCCCAGGGCCTAGTGCGGCTGGAAGGATTACGTCAATTGAAAAAATCCAGTGACCTCATCGGGACTTGCACCCGCGACCTTCCGGCTTGTAGCATAACCCCCCAACCAACTACGCTACCGCGACTGCAACGGCAGCAGACATGTCATAAACAAAAAAGTAAAAGAGATTCCAGAACTCTCTCAGGAGTTATGCCTACAAATTCATTGGATGAATGGTGAGTATGTGTCAAGATGTTACACAGAATTACCATCAGCCATGCCTCCAACAAGAGGGTCTATATTTGACATACTAAATTAAACGATAGGCTTGTTTCTAATTAATTTCATTCGGGATCCTGTATTAGTTCACCGGTGGAAGATGAACGATTGACGGAAGACAGTCTGTGGGTATTAGCACAGAGATAACCACGAGAGTTGGGAATTATAAGCCACAGAGTGAAGCGCTGGAAGCACAGAAGGCAGACAAATGGATCCTGAGAGAATGCTGAAGAAAATAATAAAATGTAAGTTTCTATATTAACACTGTATTGGTAAACTTACAATAAATATTGTAAAAGGTAACGGTAAATCTATCCTTGTAACTGGCAATGGCGGCCCATATGGTTGTGAGATATTGAGGCTCCCGCTGTCAGCCTGTGATTCCAATGTGTCAGATGGGGACCTGCCAGACCAGGTGTATATGCTGCATCACTGTGATTCCTTTGAGAGCATTAATGAGATAAGGTATGGGAGATCTGTTTCTTCAAAATAGGTTCATGGTGTGAACTCGTGAATGGACGTGAATCAGATGTTTGGCTGTGCACACTGTGTATCGGTATCTGACGCAAATACATTTCTACAGCAGGCCCAGAATGGAGGGGGATGAGTAGCTACATGTAACGTAGGATGAAGTGCCGTTGGAATTGGTGGCGATGCCAGTCTTATGTATGGGTGGAGATTGATAAAGTCAGTTTAGTGGCATCAGTTCCACACATGCTGTTAACAACCAACGTATGAGTGTTTTCCAATCTCTGGCTTGCTATCCTGGAATGCTGTTGAGGCCCTAAGTTCTTGGATAGCTTTCTTGTCCAAGACACTTCCTATCACTGGACTCACTCTCTCCAGAGCAGAAAATATGAGGTGGTCTGGGACACAATGCTTCACTGTTCCCCGCTTTTACAGCAAATACCATACATAAGGATTGCTAAACAACACTGCCATGTGCCAAAATCTGTGACACTACAACCATCATACCGGGTTAAGAATGCACAGCAGAACAGACATTCTTTCACAAAGAGGAGCTTCAAAGCAAAGAACCACAGTTCACAGTGGGGAGAGTTTGTCACTGGTATTTCTGATGAATCTCCACACCTTCAAAACGCACTGCTCAAGAAAATCAGACTGTATAACCTCTTCGGATATGCCGTCCACAGATTCAGCTCCAGCAACTCCCTGGGAGGAGCTCAGAGAGGTGTTCATCTCAACACATACTGGATAGGAGAAGAAGGGTGGCTTTCACCTGCAACCCTCCTTTCCTTGTCTTGCAGTATGAACCTCCACCTAATCGTTCCATTCTTTGTCAGATCACACTTTCTACCTTCCCAGCAACTGCATGCAGGTCCCTCTGTATGCAGAGTGGGTTAATGTTATGCACTGCCTCATCACTACCTTTAGTGTGAATGTCATGAAATGTGGAGCCCACTCTGCTACAGTAACTGTCTTACAATTTGCATTTGCAGTCTTGCTCATATATCTTCTAGAATATCATTTGAAAAG